TCGTTGGAGGTTCGTGGAGGTCACCGAGAAGGCTCAGTACTCGCTGAACTCGCCACAAGATCGGGAGCTTGCTGGGAGTCCGCCGGAAGAAATCTGAGGGTGTATCGGAAGTCCAACGGAAGATCACTAGAAAGCTTGCCGGAAGGAGACTCGACGTTTACTGGTTAAAAACTTGCTTAAGACTATGTTTTCAGTTGTGTAGTTTGGATGTAATTAGGGTTAGGATTAAGGGATAATCCTATATCCTGGTTAGGGGCCAATTGGGCCCGAATATGACTTGGTTTGGGCTAGATCTGAAGTCCAACCAGTGACACATAAGGTCGGGTAGTGGAACCGTCGGACTGGGCGGTGGCACCGCCCAAAACCCGAAGGATCGGGTGGTGGTACCGCCGGACTGGGCGATGGCACCGCCCAACACCCGAGAGGTCTGGCGGTGGCACCACCGGACTGGGTAGTGGCACCGCCAGTACACTGTCAGTGTTAAACACTGATAGACGGTGGCACCGCCAGCATTAGGAACCCAAGAGAATTAAAAATTTGGAATCAAAATTTGAATCCTCTTAGGGTCTATAAATACTCCTCAATTCTCAATAGAGAACACAGCTTTTTGAGAAGCAATAGATTGAGACAAAAGCCTTTGTAAAGTTTTTAGCAAGCCTTATTTTCAATTGCTTGAGCGTTCACCTCCTTCCTTTTCGTTGAAAATTTGTAAGAGTATGAACCACATGTAAAAGTTGTAAGAGGGGTATTTATCCTTTCCCTTTAAAGTGATTTGCTAGTGGAAGTTGGGAGCATCATCAAAGAAGGCTTCGAAAGTGGATGTAGGTCATTTGACCGAACCACTTTAAATTGGTGTATTCCTTGAATGTGTGAGTACTTACCTTTTTAAAATTGTTATTTTCACTACAGTAAGCTTTCGTTTCCATCTTCTCACTTTACTCAAGCTATTATCGAATCGAAATCTCCTCGCATTTACGAATTCGATTTCAAACTTACAAGTTTTAATCCGCTGCACTAATTCACCCCCCCCCCCTAGTGCCGCTCCGATCCTAACAATTGGTATCAGAGCAAGCTTACTCTCATATTTGGTTTAATACCCAAGAGAGATGACTTACTCTAGCATACAAGAGGGTCACTCTATTACACGTCCGCCTATGGTCAATGGGTCGGATTACACGTATTGGAAGACTCGTATGAGGATCTTCCTTATTTCCATAGATTTTGAGCTTTGGAATATTGTCAAAAATAGATTTCAAAAATCTTCTCTTTCGATGAGTGAATGGGATGAATCGGAAAAGAAGGTTTTTACTTTAAACGCAAAGGCTATGAATGCCTTGTTTTGTGCACTTGACAAAAATAAATTTAATCGCATTTCGATTTGGATTCGACTTTCGATATTTGGAGAACTCTTGAGGTCACTCATATGAAGGCACTAGCCGAGTGAAAGAGTCCAAAATCAACATTCTTGTGCATTCTTACGAACTTTTTCGGATAAAACCAAGTGAGTCCATCGGAGACATGTACACCCGTTTCACGGATGTCATCAATGGACTCAAAGCTCCTGGTAAAGGATTTTTTAACTTTGAACTAGTAACTAAAATTTTAAGATCCCTTCCAAAGAGTTGGGATCTAAAAGTTATGGCTATTCAAGAGGCTAAGGACCTTCAAATATTTCCTCTCGAAGAACTTATTGGATCTCTTATGACCTACGAAATGACATGCCATGCTTATAAAGAGCTCGAGAACCCCCTTCCAAAGAACAGGAAGGATATGACACTTAGAATACAAGAAGACTACTTGAAAGGAACATCAAGTGATGAGGATAGTGACAATGACATTGCACTTTTAACTCAAAATTTTAAAAAATTTATAAGAAAGAACAAATTTAAAAATGACACCAAAAACAAACTTGAACATAAAAAGGACCAAATAATATGCTACGAATGCAAGAAGCCGGGGCACTTCAAAAATGAATACTCCCAAGCAAAGAAGAAGCAACCGAAGAAGAAGAAAGCTTTGAAAGCGACTTAGGATGACTCAAGTAATTCCGAGAATGAAGAAGCTAACAACAAAGAGGAGACAAACTTCATGCTAATGGAGTTAGGAGGAGAGGTATGTGATTTAATTAATGAAGATTTATCTTTCGATGAACTTTCTATCACTTTTTATGAATTATTTGATGAGTGTAGAACTATTAGTAAGAAGTTTAATCTATTAAAGAAAAAGCATGCCTTACTATAAAATAAGCTTGATAATCTTCAAACTCCTCCATGCTCTAAGTGTGAACACTTAGAAGCAATAAAAAATGAGAATTTGCTACTTAAAGAGACCTTAAACAAGTTTAAGGTCAGTAGTAAAGGCTTGGACATAATCCTTGCAAACAAGGGTCACGTCGCAAATAGAAGTGGAATTGGTTTTATGAGAGGATCTCACCAAAATCCTACCACCTTCATTAAAGGACCCACATTACATGTTTCACCTCATTTGAAATGTAACTTTTGTTGTAAATCCGGACATGTTGTTTACAAATATCTATTTAAGAAAATTAGCCCACATAAGTTGATATGGGTTCCTAAAGGAACTATAAATAATTCAATAATGAATAACAAAATTAGTAGATCAATTTTTTAGGCACTCAAAATTAAATGGGTACCTAAAAACCATCATCTTTTGTAGACAAACTCACAAGCTAGGAGCAAGAGATGGTATCTTGATAGTGGATGCCCAAGGCACATGACCGGAGATCCATCTCATTTCTCTATGCTCACTAGCAAAGAAGAAGGGTATGTCACCTTCAGAGACAACAACAAAGGTAAAATTATTGGCAAGGGAACCATAGGTAACAAATCAAGTTTTTCAATTGATGATATATTACTAGTTGATGGATTGAAACATAATCTCTTAA